GGTAGTCGCTCTACAGAATCGTGCGGTGTGCCCTTTTTGTTACAGTTATTGCAGTGTAACTCTCGACAAGCACCGTTATGGTGGTAGTTACACTTGTTGCACTTGGGAAGAGTTCCTATACTGTTTCGGCGCTGGAGCGACAGCAGTAGTGGCGGCACGAACAGCAACAATCTGTTGCTTTTTGGCGGGGTCCTGAATTGGTTGTTTCTTTTTATTGCCCCAGAACTTCCTCTTGTTGTTCCCTCCTTTTGTTCGGTCGGTGGTGGTTATCACGTACCACGGCTAGCCCTGTGATCTATGAGTTGTTGTGCCAATTCCTTGGCACTCTCAAAGGTAGTGGGTTTCGAGGCCAATACACTATCTTGAATCTGGGATGACAGCCCCAGAGATATCGTTCCACCTTCTTCTCTTCTGGAGTGACCATTGTTGGACAGAGGAGTGCTAGGTCATTGAAACGGGCAGTATAAGTTTCAAGATCAGTGCCTGTCATTCTGAGGTTCCAAAGTTCTTCTTCAAGTTTTTGTATTTCGCCCCTCGGGCAGTATTCCTTTAACATTAGGGCTTTCAAATCCTCCCAGCATGATTGCGTTAGCTACTGCGGGAGTAAGTGATTTAACTCGGCCATTCCACCAAGTAAGTGCTTTTCCAGTGAAAGTGAATGCCGCATACTTGATCTTGCTCGCTTCGGGACAAGCGCATATTTCAAAAATTGCCTCGATCCTTTCGAACCATTGCACCAACGTGATAACGCCCCCGCTTCCATTGAAAGGGTCAGGTTTGCCATTCGTGAAGTCTTTGTAAGAGCACTCCCTCGTACGCCCCGTGCTGTCCCCATGAATGGAATTGGTAGCTCCGGATCCAGAACCGCCAGAACCATTGGTTCCCATTTGCGACATTGCTGCCGCCACGGCTGCCGTTACTGCAGCCTGGAACATTGCAGGATCAAACTGCGGAGGTGGTGGTGGAGGCGGCACTGTGTTGTTGGAAGGCCTTGGTCTTTTCCTTGGTGGCATGGTTCTGTCATAAAAAAAAATGACCAGTCGGTAAGACTTCAATAGTGATAACGAGTCGAGTGTTACTGGTTTCATCCCTCTTGTATTTTATCAAAACTTTATTATTCGTAAACTGTTTGTGTGATCAGGTTATGATGTATAGTGCCAAACATTCAATAAATAAAACACATGCCAAATTTCATTGATAACTTTTAGTACATAACGTTTAGAGGGAAAAGTTTGACCTCATAAGGGTCTACATTACATCGTTACAAAAGATTTTTGGCATTACAAAAACCTTTGAATAGTGTAATCACATAGTCGCAGGGTCGACCTACATACAAAGAGTAGCACCAACGCGTACTATAAAATTTTACTACCAAGACGTGAGAATAGTAACGAGTTCTAATCACTGCGACCCTTCTTTGACGGAGGCTGCGATGATGTCGATGCGCCCTGTAGTTCCGCCAATCTGCGTTCGGCTGCAACCATTCTCTCTTCGAGTGCCATGTATCTTTCCCGATACTCTCTTGTTTCTGCTTGAGCTGCGAGAAGGTCTTGAATGAGTTGGTCTCTGTGGTGGGAGTCTCGTTCCAGGTCTCTGGTGCGATCAGTAGTAGACTGTACGATGGCACTTAACTCCCGGACCTGATCGGTCGTCGTCCTACCACGATCATCCATACTTGCTATTCGTTGTATCGTGACGGGGAGAGCTCTGTCAGCCGGTCCACCATGAGTGAGATCATAGTAACCTCGTTGGTAGCCATATGGTGACCGCTGGCGTTGTTGTCGGCTCCATCTTTCGATCGTTGTTACCCAAGGGGGTTCAGGTCCGTTGTATCCAAAACGGTGCGCGGGTACCCTGCGATGTAGGGAGGGTTGAATACTTCTGGTGGTTCCTCTGCTTCGTTCCCAAACATGACTATCTCATCACCTTCCTCTTCTTCCTCTTCGTCTTCCTCTTCTTCTTGGTCGTCTTCCTCTTCTTCTTCTTGTTCGTCCCCCCTCGGGATCCTCTTCGGGATCCTCCTCGGGATCTTCCTCAGGATCCTCCTCGGGCTTATCTTCGATCCATCCCGCGTTTCCCTGATTGGGAAAATAGGGGTCCCCGGGTATGTGAAATCCTGCCATGTCGTCTGCACGAGAAACGGGGTTAAGAAGCACATATCGGAAAATAATAATCTGGCACTATAGAAACGTACAAATACTCCTATAGTATTTTTAAATGTTTATATTTGGTTCTTAGCGTGTTCTTTATGGAGTGTAATTAGGTTATCAGATTTGTCGCTCATTACGACTATTCCTTAGTGTGCGTAAGTTACTTCTTGGACGGATATAGTTGATCAGGCTATATCCCTCCCAGAACTGATTACACATGCTAAGGCGTACTAATAATGTTCGACTCCTCCTCTTTCAATTTATGTTCTCCTAAGATATGACACCATGCTAGTATAGAATGCATGTAAGTATACTTTAAAACAAGAAATTATTTGTTTTCTAAAAGTACAACTCGTTAAAGCATTTTAAGAATCAGAGACCTCTAGTCCCAAATTGTTTATAGTTTGTATATCTTATGTGGTTTGACATACTTAATTCACTATAAACCGTGCTCTGATACCAATCTGTCACACCCCCAAACCAAGGATGGCGGAAACGTCCGGGGGTGGAGGACTTCATGTATAGTATCATAACCACAATTTCAATAGTAATTTAAGCAAACACAACCAACATATATATAATTGAAAAAGTTACATCACTTGTATGAATTACATGTTTCAAAATCAATTACAATATGTTGACAAAATATGAAAAGTTTGACGCCTTAACGTCCCATCCTCAAAAGCACTTGATTACCTGTTTAGTGTTTTCCTGAGAATACAAGTTGTTTGAAAAGTGTCAACACAAAGGTTGGTGAGTTCATAAGCTTTTATTAATAAACTTAGTAGAAGTCTTTCACATGTAAATGTCGCGTTTGTTTCAGAAAAATCCGATATTTTCCTTGAAATCCGTAAAATGTAGCCTTATAACCAAAGACCAAAATGTATAAGAAATCATCATTACTTAGTAGAAATGTCGTGAGTTTAAAATGATATGGAAAGTAAATTTTTAATCAACCTAAAACCTACTTCGGTTTTATGAAATCCCGTAAACTTTATGAATTGTTACTCCCTAGGTGAGTCGCTATAATCATACTGTGACTATGTGAACCTGCCACAACGTTTCTCAGGCGTCGCGAAAATGAAATGACATTTGTCACCCGTAGACCTGCAGGTCCCACTGTAGCTAGCAGCAAGGTGTGGGGTGTCAAACCCAATATAGATCTATATACAAGTATCACGTTCTCCCTCAAGGAGATTCTGATTATAACTACCAGGAATTATATCCCGCACTCGGACGTACGGGGAGAGAGAGAGTCTCACAACATAGGTTAACAAGTTTACGTGAAATGTGTGGATATAAATCTTTCTTGTATGAATGTACCCTTTTTGTACGAGTGTGTTGAGTGATGTATCATAAACTATACCTATTATAGTTTATCTAAAATGTATGTAATATGTATGAATTCTTTTATGGAAATGTATTAGTGTTGTGAATTTATCAAACTATACTTTTTATAGTTACATAATACGTGTTCTAAAATGAATGAATAATATTTAATATGAATGACTTAGTTTCAGTTCATAATGATAAACTAACAAGGAAACACATTCAAATATTAGAACTTATGATTATACACTTTGCTCAACATAATACAAAGTGTTATGATATTTACATGCTGTTGGCTAACTTTAGCCATTCTGCCCTGTTTTGGAAAAATCATAGAAAAATCATACGAAGTCGAAAACTAGATCCGTAAATTCTGAGAGTTCACAAAATGTGTCTAGTTTACTATAATTTTTTCACGATTTTTAATGACCTCCAACTTGGGTGAAAAAGTCCATAATCACAGACTGGTCCGGATTGTTGTTTGAAATGATAGGCAGTTTTGTAAAAATCACCATAAATTGTAGAAAAATCGTATGGAGATGTGCAAGTAGTCATTTTAAAGCTACAAACTTGACACTACTAGAAAAAAGGCCTTTTACGACGCTCATTGCGCGTCGTAAAACGCTCAGACGACGTGCAAATGCGTGTCAAGGAAGGCCCTGTCATAAAGAGAGACGATGCGCTTTTGTGCGTCGTCTATAGACGACGCGCATTTACGACGCACATTTATGACGCGCATTTACGACGCGCGGTTATGACACGCAATGCGTATCAAGGAAGGCCCTGTCATAAAGGAAGACGGCACGCATTTGCGTGTCGTAACCTTACGACGCGCGTGTTTATGACACGCAATGCGTATCAAGGAAGCCCCTGTCAAGAAAGGCCATGTCATAAATAAAGATGACACACATTTTTGCGTATCATAATTTTAAATGTTTAAAAAAATATTATTTATAGATTTACTAATTTTTCATATTAAATAATACATTAGAAATCTCATAATAATAAATAAAATACCATAAATAACAAAGATAATTCATTTCACTAATATGTCAAATACAAATAATTATTCCAATAGTGAGTAAATGTTATAGAAAATGAACTCATTTATATACAATTGCATTATCTAGCTTACTATGTGCCAACAACTTCTATCTTTTTCCTTCTCTGCATAAACTTCATTAGCAGCATCCTAAAGAACTTCTATCTTTTTCATCAGCAACATCCTCAAAAACTTCTATCTTTTTCCTTCTCTGCATAAACTTCTATCTCACACTCAATGTAGTTTTAAACATCAGGTTTAAAAAATCAACTTTAAGGTTGCCTTGTTAAAGAGAATGACTAGAATAGATTTCCCTTTTTCACAAGGCATGTGCTTGCTTGCACATATATATGGAATCATTATAACAAAAAAAAACTGTTCATGTCAACTACTCCAAGGACTATTATGTAATTTAACATGAAGAATTTTGTCCAGATGAAAGGATTGACTTTAAACTTATAAAAATCATTTAACAGAACTTACCTGACCATGAAGCGTGTTGATCCAGGATCTCCTTGCCTTCCTGCTCTGCCACGAAGCTTTGTAAAGCAAGAAATAAATTAAAAAAGTGAGTCTGAAAGTATATGCTAAATTTATGTAAAACCTTAAAACACAATATTGATGCAAAGTTACCTGATTATCAATTCTTCGGGACTCATGCAAAGATGTCCCAATGACATGGAGACCACCAAGTCGTTTGACTTCCAATCCTTCATGAAAGCAATGAATCTCACAGTCCTTTAGAACCGATAAATAGGCAATTGCAATGCAAGGACCAAGAGGGTACATCTCTGCCTGTTCTTCCACAAGCCTTTGCAGTTCATCTAAACCCATTGACTGGCTCATTTCAATTGACTCTGAAATTATAGATTTTGCCTTCTCATATGTCCAACTCTTGTTCTCACTTTTGCCCACGTATTTAGCTGCGTTATTTACCCAAAACCATATACCATTCACATTAACGTTAGGGCCAAATGAAAGAATAGCTACCTATTTCTAATTACCAGCATCCTACTCTCAGTACAACATCCTAAAAAGAAAAAAAATGAAAGTATACAGCTATAACCATAAGTGGTATAGTTTTCAAAGTACAGTGCCTTATGAAAGATATCTTTTTTAAAGAGTATGCTAGTATGGTAGAAAGCAATGAAAGTAGGATGCTATAACACACAAATAGATGAAAACAAGTAGTTATTGTTGCTTGTTATATTTTTAGCCCATATAGAAAGTGAATACTTACTTCAGTTTTTGCAGTTCCTGTCATCCCTGAAAGCTTTGGATAAAGCTTAAACATTGATTGGTATGTGATTTGTGCCACTACAACTGAATCAGCCTGCAAAGCCCAAGAGGAATACAAGGTAATAGCTTTAAACAAGAGTTGTCAAAAAGAATGATGATGTGGCAGGCAATCGCAATATATACCTGGATTGGTAACCCTTCTTTTGCCTCCACAGCCAGGTGAATCCCCTCTGACCATCGTCTTTTTTTTCCACTCTCCCCGTCAACTTCAAATGAACATTAATTTACAGCAATATAACTAGGTTTTTCTCCTAAAATAAAAATACGATGTTTGTAATACCTCGTTTATTATAAGAGCTTTCCCATTTTTAACAATGTACTGGACATCTTGGCGATAGAACTCCCATTTTTAACAATCTGCAGCTCCTCCAGCCATTGTGCCCAACATATACAGATTAATTTCAATGATTTTTTTTCACAGATTGAGATGCTGCAAAAAAAAAAAAAAAAAAACAAAACAAAATTAAACGAGTGTTTTTGAAGACTATTTAATGCTTTCAAATCATGTTGCTTTCGATTCATAATTAATTATTAATCAAGTAAAGATATATTATAATTTAGAAGGAGAAATGCATACATATATAGCCTCCCATGCTAGCTCGGGAATCTGCAGCAACCATCACACCTTCCTTAAAAATAAAAGCCAAAGTTGTTGTTCCTTTTGCTGGTTTTACCATTTGGATAGAATTCTTCTGAAATCCATCAAACTGAAGCAAAGGATTTGATGTAGTGTTTTAGCAATATATACATTCACTTAATATCTAGCAGAAAGGAAAAGAGAAAAAGGCAAGAATTGTAAAGAAACTCACATCTGATGTAACTGGTAGGTCAAATGAAGGGGCATCAGAAAGCAGGTCGTCACTTCCTCCATAGAGTGGTGCACTTGTGCAGTTTAATCAGATGCAAAATAAATCGCATACGATAATAATTACCTTTGATGAGCTGCAATACATCTTATACTCCAAACCATTCACCACATGTACGCCTTCCATGACAGCTGATATAGCAGAAGATTCATCAATACCTGAGAATTGGCATTTATTTCTGCATGTAATTAGGAAACAAATTAAATATGAACATAAATAGATACTTATTTACTCAATGTCATAAGAAGTATTAATATTTATTAGTTATTACCTCTGCAACATAATACCAAATCCTTTTTTCCAGGCACAACAGAAAGAAAACCATTGTGAAGATAAGTTGAAAAATTATGATCCACAGAAACCGCAACCACATCAGTCTTTGCATTCCCAACATCCATCAGTTGAATGGTTAAACAACATGGGCCAGATGACTGCAAAAAAATAAGGAAAAATAAATAAATAAACCAGAGTTCTTACAGGATACAGAGACTGCTACATATGATTATACAGTAATAATTTATGTTTATTGTTATTGCTATTGTTACTCTACCTTCACTGTTTTTGTTTTTGTTAATGTTATTATTCCTGTTACCTAAGTGTTAATGTTATTGTTTGACTGCTTTCTGCAACCATAGTTATCAGATTTGTGAGCAAAAATAAAGATAAATAAGCTTACCTACCATTAAGCCAGGATAAGAGTTTAGGGCATCAATGGAAGATGTCTCCTGGATTTTATTACCTCCTGGACACACGCCATAAATTTTCAATAACTTGGAATTGTTCAAGTAATATTATATAATCCCAAAAAAATACAATTAACTACCAATAAGTAGGCAATGCAAATTTTGGAAAGGCATATCAGGTTCATCTGTAGCTGAGGGGTACCAAATACGCTCTATGTTATTCTTATTTAATTGAAGTTGCTCCAAACTGAATACAATTTCAAGTAAAGGATAAAGCTTTCACAAAATAGTATAATATTAACCTTGAGTAAGTCATTGTTTAGGGTTAAAAGCGAATCCAGAGTGCCAACACGAAGATTTGGGATATTAAACTGCAAAACTACTCAAATTTAATAAGATACTTAGTAAAATTGAACGAAATTGATAGCGATGATTGTTATACCCTATAAAGAGGAGTGTCAAATGAGTTTTTGGAGATGGATTCTTGTAAGCGACTCCACAAAGAAGAAGCAGAACTCTGAACGGGAAGAGAAGTCTTCGTGTTAGGGGGAAAATTAACGAGATTCCCAATTGCTGCTCAAAATTCTTAAGATCGACAACGGAGATTCCCGATTGTTAAATTGAATTATGGTTTGCAACAGAGAATCAAAAGGGGGAAAATTAATGAAATCTATCCTCCAAATAGAAATCGACGAATTCATGAGATAGATTGATTTCATTTTGAAAACATCCATGATTTCGTTTTGAAAACATCCATGAAGTCAAATTTAGAAGCAGTAATAAGCGATTCAGATTCGCTTTCTATTCAAACATGTTCAATTTTTTTGTAGGATACGGTCCCAATTTTTACATAGGAACCACCAAATCCTTCAAAACTAGAAAAAAAGTATGTGAAGAAACGAACAATAAATTGATTACCTGGATCTCTGACACAAAAGTTTCAAAGGTGATGACAATCGAGAAGCTAATGGAGCAAAGTTATGGTTCTTCGTCTGTGTGTTTTTCTAGTTATCTATGGGGAATCAAAAACAAACGAGAATCAAGATTTGAATTCCTAATATTGAGACTTGAGACTATAATATTGAATTAGGGCTTTTTCTGAAAATTTCAACATCGAGTGGAAGATATGGTGGTTCCAGTGGGTAGAAGTAAGTGAGCCTTGATCGATGTCAACGATTGGGGAAGTAGTTAGCGGTCGATGTGGGAAGGGGAAAGAAGTATTGCCGATTAGGGTAAAGAGAGAAGTGAAAGCGGGCTAAGGTAAAGAGGGAAGTGAAAGCGGGCTTTTCTAATTTTTGGGTTTTTCTTTTTCCCGCTTATTACTAAAGAGCGCGTTTCATTAAAAAATTTAAAGCGACATGTTTAGATGACGCATGTTTTATAATTAGTGCCCTCCGTGTTTTTTTTCTAACACTTATTCTAGGGCACGCAAAATTGTGCGTTCTAAATCCTTAAAATTTCTAGAGAGCTGACATTATTTTTAGGTCACATGCTTTTGCGTATCATAAATCACCGCGTGTCATAAATTGCACGTCATTAAAGGTCTATTTTCTAGTAGTGTGAACTATTTGCACCTTGTACAGTTTTGAAAACAAAAATGTTTAAGATGCCCAAAACAGTCCGTGAATGGAGTTGAACTTTTCTGATGAAGGCTGTTAGAAATATTTAGTTATGTTCTTGATGTTTTAACTTGTATTCCCCCCCCCCCCCCCTGAAAACTTGAGAAAACATGAAAATGTAGGGGTATGAACTCACCTTAAGTGATTTCAGTAGATGATTGTTGAAGAATGGAAGTGTTTAATTCAAGAACACTTGGAGATGCCTTGAAGGTTTTCGAGAATCTAACATTATAGTTATGAAGTTTGTGTAAGCAATCAAAGATTTGAGTAGAAGGAAGTGAAATAATAATAGGGAGGATGAATTTTTACTTACTAAGAGCGGAAGAACACTTGAAATCAGCCTTGAATCTCGAAAATTTGTGTAGAAAAAGTTTGAGAGAAAAATGGTGTTTGTTACTTAGTGGAATGAGAGAAATGAGAGAAAATGAGGAGTGTGGTTGTTTGTTCCAGCTCAAAAAAACGTGGGAGTGAGTGAAATTTGAGTGTAAGGGGACATTGAAGTGACATAGGTAAGGTGGGGAGGTATGGCTGGTCATAGAGTGGGTGTGGGGTGGTTGCTTGTGTCATACGTTAAGGCAAAGTCAACACTCCACCTTAAATAAATTCCCCATTAGATCTTTATTATTTAGATAATGATTTTCATAAAAATATGTTTAAATTATGAATATTTAGAGTTTATTATGTTAAAATATGATTTTGGGTGACAATCCCGCGTTAAAATAATTAAAAACGGGCCTTAAATGCAAAACTACGCGAAAACCGGGAAGAAAGGCATTCCCAGCGAGACCTCTCGGTCCCTAGGCCGAGGTTCGGTCCTTGCTGGGGGCTGTAGCCGAAAACGAAACGAACAGAGGGAAGCGAAAGGGGCGAGGAAGCGAGAGGCGAAGGCGAGAGGGGGTTCAGTCCGGAGATAAGAGGCGCCGTGTCCGACCGAAAGGTGCCGAATGAACAGTGGTGAACAGTACCTTCGGGTTCGGTTCTTCCAGGGCGAGGTTCGGTTCCTCTTAAGCGGGGTTCGGGTTCGGTTCCTCTTAAGCAGGGTTCAGTTTCGGTTCTTCCAGGGCGAGGTTCGGTTCGGTTCCTCTTAAGTAGGGTTCGGTTTCGGTTCTTCCAGGGCGAGGTTCGGTTCGGTTCAGGAGGGTTCGGCTCCTCCTTGCTCTCAGTCCCTAAGAGGACCTTCGGGTCCTAAGAAGCTTCTCTCTTCTCGAGAGGTTTCGGTTCCTAATGTCTATTTTTCTCGTTTTTACCCCGTTTTAAGCCGTTTTTGACACGGTTAAGCGTCGGAATGACCCGAATGATTCAAAAAAAGTTACGGGAAACTTTGGAGAGAGATTTGGGAGAGATTTTACATACTTGGAGAGATTTGGGAGAGATTTGACATTCTTGGAGAGATTTCTCATACAGAGAGATATTTGAGAGAGATTTCACATACTTGGAGAGATTTGGGAGAGATTTGACATTCTTGGAGAGATTTCTCATACAAAGAGATATTTGAGAGAGATTTCACATACTTTGAGAGATTTGGGAGAGATTTGACATTCTTGGAGAGATTTCTCATACAAAGAGATATTTGAGAGAGATTTCACATACTTGGAGAGATTTGACATTCTTGGAGAGATTTCTCATACAGAGAGATATTTGAGAGAGATTTCACATACTTGGAGAGATTTGGGAGAGATTTGACATTCTTGGAGAGATTTCTCATACAAAGAGATATTTGAGAGAGATTTCAAGTGTGGCATTTGTGAGTGTTTGGCTCTGCTAAGCAAGTTTCTTGAGCCCCGTTAAGTCATGGTTAAGGATCCCACACACTCCCAATGAGTGTGCAACATGATTTTTATCAGTTTAGTTCATTGATTAGCACTAGGGCTTAGGAAATTTTTAACACAAGACTTTTCACAAGTGATGTTTTATCATTAATATAGCAAGTTATACAGTATGAACATAACACAAACCCTAATACACAAGGTTTAATCGAGTTGACCGGCTTGACTTGATGACTTGACTTGACTCAAGATTGACGATTGTCACAAATATGTAGATCTATTGTGTTGCAAATGAAATTTCGGGATGTGTAAAAATCAGATATTGCAATGCCCCTGCAACACTATGACGCATGGATGGATACGAAATTGGAGGACCGTCAACATTGAGCTTGGAGGAAATACCAACCTGTGTGCGACATGGGTTGCATCCAGACATGTTGGCATAGTCGAGAAGGTCAGTAGCATACTTTTTCTAAGAGAGAAACATGCCTTTTTCTATACAGGAGACATAGATTCTTAGAAAGAAATTGAGGGGAACCAGATCAGTCATTGGAAATTCAAGGTCGAGTTTATGAATGATACTCTGAAGGAGGGTCGTGGATGAAGCTGTCAAAATGATGTCATCGACATACAAAAGGAGATAGTTGTGTCGTTGCCCTGTTTGAGAATAAATAATTTCTCTTGCTATGGACGAATCAAAGTGTAATGGCATGGTTGGCGAGATGCTGAAACCAAGCGCGAGGAGCCTGTTTGAGGCCATAGAGAGACTTCTAGAGTTGACATACATGATGTGGTTATTGGGTGTCAACGATTCCTAGTGGATGATACATATATACAATCTCAGACAGGTGACCATGTAGAAATGTGTTTTTAAAATTAAGTTGGTGAACAAGCCAATGTATGGATATGGAAAGACTGAGAGTCGTGCGGATGGTGATGGGATGTACAATTGGGTTGAAAGTATCATCATAATCGATTCATGGTTGTTGGCTATTTCCATTTTCAACAAGCTGAGATTTGCACCTACTAAAAGTTTCATCGGTATTAAACTTATGTTTATATAACCACATAGCACATACAATATTGACCTTATTTGGTCAGGGTACGAGAGACCACCTATTATGTTTAATAAGTGCGTTAAATTCATCATGCATGGCGGATTTCCAATTTGGATCACGAAGGACTTGAGCGGGATTTTTGGGAATAGAAGAAAGTGTGCTGGTGTGAAGGTTTAGTCGTTGGATCGGTTTGACTATTCCAAGCCGAGAGTAGGTGAGCATGGGGTGGCAGGTGTTGGAGGTTGTTGAAGGTAGGGGAATTATGGGGATGG